GTTAAAAAATCTGAAGTGAAAATCGGGGAGAACAAAGGAGGGCATGCGCCAGTAAAATTCATGCCAGACGATGTTTGTTGGCCGTGATCACGCGATCTCGTAAAACTCGCCGCGCGGTTCTATTCTCGTACTTGTCACGCCATTTTGCATAGCCAGGCAGACGTTCACCCTAATGCAGTGACTCGGGGGCCTCCGCGAGTTTGAATAGTAAATTTCGGTTATGATAAAACTTTTGGCCACGACGATATCAGCGGTAATAACGTTACTTTTAAGCGCGGCGATATATTCCAGGCGGGAGCTCGAAACATCGTATTATCCCGGGCAAGCCAGAACTATGCACGGAATACCCGTGGTGCGTCCAGTGTGCAACTACGCGACGGTTCTTCGTTTAAATAACAATCGCGTGAAATCAATACCACACGGAGGTGTAAAATGTTGCTCGATGTTATTTCAACGAAAAGGAGGGGGAACTTAAAAAAACAGGAGAACTTTTTTTTTTAAACGAGTAAGTTTAATCTACGCTCGATCTAAGGAGATCAAAGGGAATAGTGTGTCGTTAAACGGAAAAGAAAGGGGGTGTAGAAAGTGAGTAAAACCAAATCACCGGAGCTCCGTAGTCTTTGACTCGGAGACTAGAGGGTGGAGAGAAAGAGAAAGAAAAAGAGGAAGAAGAAAAAAAAGAACGGGGTTAAAACTTGTTAATGACCGGGCTTATCGATAGGGCGTCAACTACCCCCGGGTAACTGCAGTCAGAGACCGGCGTGCAGCGAGCGAGCGTGCATGCGAGCGCATACATCTCTGAACGAGCCGCGTCCATATTGTTGCGTCTACAAAGAATTCCACACGCGTTCATGTACACGCCGGTGGACCTCAAAGCAAGGGTGTGCGTATTTACTGCGGGGAAACATCAAGACCGCTGACACACGGTGAAATATGGGGTCGAAACGGGTGTGGCAATTAAAGCACGCTTTCTCCCTCCCCCCTCGCTTCCTCCCTCTCTCTCTCTCTTTCTCGCTTGTCGAACTCGTGCGCGAGTGATTCGGTATTTATGTACGCGCGAGTACACGAGCGAGGATACGAATGGCGGGGCCACGGTTATTTGCAAGGTATGCAAAAGGGAGAAAACACGAGAGGCGTTAAAAAGAATTATGCTTTCACCGTTGATAAGTGAATCGTGCGGAATTAGAGTGGGAGAGGATCATGCGCGTTCCACCCGCGCTTTTTGTTTCACTTGCGGGCATATTAATGAGCAGGAATTGAATGTGCGTTACAACGGAACGCCCGTGGCAGTTGTCCGCCGCAAATAACGCTGAATTTTCGCGTTTGCGAACGGTGAAACTGCAAATGCGAAATAACGTCGATGTGAAAAATAGCCCGGGTACAACAGTACGTATTGATCTGTGTTGCGTTCGACTGAATTCCGGTCGAGACGATCGGAATAATTTTCGCACCGCTGCGTGGATTAGGAAGCGAAAAACGAGGATCAAGTGTTAACAAGTTGTCAAGGAAGTAGAATCGTTTTGTAGAAGTGGCACGGGGAAGCGCGATCGCTGTAAAGTTTTCGAATTTCCTCGAATTTCGACCGCAAAACACAATAGCCCGCGGGGAATTTGCCGGGCGTTAAAGAGATCCGCAGCTCGCGATACCGCGGCTAGAGCACGCGAGATTTTACTTAGCGCCGGCGAGTCGGTTCATTAGCACGCGAATCATTGAACAGAGAGACGAGTCTCGGTCCCCTGTAGCTACACTTGAACTGTTCTCTTATCGGCTCGCCTCGAGGGTACAAAAAGATCCTTCGGGAAAAAGTCTGCACAACTCCTTCGATTCGATTACGCGATCAGTTGTCCGGAAGCGAATTACCTTAACCACGTCGTCTATCAAAATTCACAATGGAAGAAGAAAAGAAGAACAATCCTCGTGCCTACCTGTTCGTATTTCTCGAGCTCTTGGTGGTAAATCTGCCTAATTTGGGCGAGCTTGGCTCTGTAGTCGGAGTGTTCGATAGCGTTGTCAGGTTGTCCAGGTGGTCCAGCCGCCGCGGCCGCCGAGGCGGACGCTGCCGCTCCCGCTCCACCACCCTTCTCAGGCCCAGCAACACCCTCAGCGATCAACATGTTGTCCAGCCTCATTAGCTGCGGATCGGGTGGCTCCTCTTCCTGAGTGTTCCTTAACGACAGCACTGCAACAGCAAAAAATCACAGGAATTTGAAGTACAATGCGACGTGAGGCACCATTCAAACAACGGAGTGTTCCAACGAACGAAGAGAGATTGCATTCAAACTTTATCAATCACCGAAATCCACGCATACCACGTAAACAAATTTCAAGAACCATACCACACACACACGCACGCATCGAAGCGGTTGACTAAAGTCGTCGTAATAAAACAACGTCGAGATTTCTCGATCTTTGGAGCGCACAGGTCGCGTTTACCGATCATAAAAGAATCAATTTTACTCGTGCGTTCGCTCGTGTCTTTATCCTTTCTTTCCCTTTGTCTTAAAGGTCGACGTGCACGCAGTGCTTTAGAACAAGGGGTGGTATTCGACGACGTAGCAGTGGTTGTTTTATTGTACTTTTACGGCGCATGATGGAGCTGGACGACCTATAAAACCGCAGAGACCGAGGGACTTTCTCTTGCTCGCTCCTTCTTCCCACTATGTGACAGTTCCTTCAGAAGATGCAACCCCATCTTCGACAGTTTCCAGCCCCCGCTAGTCCTCAGTGTGTATAAACCAACACGTGCACGCGCGAGTAAGCACGCCGGGGGAAACTCGCGCAAACTGCCGCGAGATATACTTCCCCACGGAACCGATTATTCTTGCCGCGATTTGAAAAAGTGACGAGAGATCGTCGCACGCCGAGAGCGGGAAAGTTAGCCGGAACAAAGGGCGAGGTGTAGAAGTAGCTGCTTGAAAAGAAAGTCGAGAGGAGAGACTCGAAGGGAGATGGGAGCGTAGAATTAACGCCGTCCGAACGATGAATAGGAATAGAATTTGAATACTTATACGTACTACTGTCTTCGAATGAAATATCGCGATACTTGGTAAAACGGAGAACGTAACGTTTCAACCCTCTACTGAGATTTCAGGACTGAATTAATCACATTTGCGGTTATTCGAGCCGTAATTTGAATTCGTTACGACTTTTTTCGTCTCTCTCTTTCTCACGCCGGTTCGTAGTTGGCTGGGAGAAAAGTCTCTCGAGAGACGAAAGAGAAGCGAAGAAGGGCGTGAAAGTTCGCCGGGATTCGCGGGAGCGTGAAACGAATGCGCGGAACTAATGCATTTATACGAAGTGTAACAATTAGGGCTGCAGTCCTGGCAAAAGGGGTCGGAATTTCAAATTCCTCCTGGGACAACCGAGCGGAAGGGTGAAGACACACAAAGTCGATCGCTGGGGAACCGTTTTCTTCGAGAAAGATGTTGCACGCCTCGCGCCAACTCTTGTCGGTGCCTTCGTGTTCGTTAACGAATCTCTTTCTTCTGCAACACCGGGGGAATCGTTCTTGAACTTTCCGCCGATTCCCGGCAAACTTGATTTACAATCTTCCCTCCGTTACCGGAACAATTATACCAACTTCTATACACTCGATCGTTGCGAGAGCGTAAAGATAAAACATTCGGAGATCCGAGGAAACGAGTAGTTTTCAGTTTTCAAGAACGACTTAAGGGAAGGTTAACAGCAGCCAGGAGGATATCGTTAAAACTTTGGCGGCCGAGAACTTTTCACGCTACCGCGGGTAATTAAAAATGAAAAACCCTCCCGTCGTTCGCTGAAGAAGCAGCGGAATAAAACGTACGTTTATGACGATGCCGTAAGGAAGAAGTTGTTCCATTGAAAGTTAAAAGACCGTGAGCCATCCACGGTACTTTCCTTTATTTGCTCGAGGGAGGCGGAGGAGGAGCTAGCCTGGTCAATCTAAACTGAAACTTGTCGAATCAGATTTGTACGAGTTCGCGATGCTCGATAGACGGTGTGTGCCTTGGAGAAGTTCGCGAGATCCGCGAAACAGAGACGACGACGTGTAAAATTAAGCACTCGAGCGAAATTATTTTCGGGTATCGAGCGGGAAGAAAGTAATCGGGGGTGGCTTACGGGCAATAATCTGGCCATTAAGGGGTGTAAGGGGTGGCCCTTGGTAGCAAGGCACAGGGACTGCCAACCTCCTGCGGGGGTCCTTACAAGCACGTAAACTCAGTTTTACTAGCAGTTAACATTTTACGACTTAGACGGTCTGGCTGACTCTCTCTCTCTCTCTCTCTCTCTCTCTCTCTCTCTCTCTCTCTCTCTCTGAGCACCCTGCTTCTTTCTCTTTCCTGCTCGCGCTAGCACGCGT